CTGTTTGAACTCCTCCCCTCTGGACGGCGTTACAGGTCACTGTGCACTAAGACAACCAGGCACAGGGACAGTTTCTTCCCCCAGGCTGTCGCTCTGATGAACACTTAACCAACGACAGTATGACTGGACAATAACCCTCAGTGCAATACCTGTAAATATATATAGTACAGATTATAGAGACTCGTACAGGTCTCTATTTTTAAGTGCTCTATTTTTATTCCTATTTTTATCTCGTTTCCTAATGAACATTCTGTCTGTTTGCATCGTTTACTGCCTGTTTATACTGCTTATTTTGTTATACTACACAGCCTTATGTTGGTTTACTGTTTACTTGCCCACTGCTGCCTTACATAAGACCATGTAGATGCACATTGAGAGCTGATGTACCAGAGTCAAATTCCTTGTGTCCAACACACCTGGCCCATAAAGCAGATTCTGATTCTGATAAAGTTTGCTGTCATCCTCCAACGTCCCCTTTTTTAATTGTTCTGTATTTCTGCACCGCTTGTAGTCTCTCCTCTCCTGACACAGAACCATTCACACACTGTCTCCGGAGCCAGGTTAAGTACTCACCCTTTGCCTTTGTCGGTCCAGCTCTCGATGATCAGTCCCTCCATGGAGCCGCTGAGCTCTGCCTTTAGCTCCAAAACCTCCGCCAGCGCCACTGTGGCCTCGGCCAGAGCCAACAGGTTGTCACCCTGCCAATGGCAACACAACATTATCACTGACATCACCCTGATTTCCTGTCTACACCCTGCAGCCTGGATTTGAGACCCAGCTCTTGTGGTTTTATTTATACCACTGGTCAAATGTCGGTCAGCTCCATGTTTCTAGCTGCCTTTGTACAGACAGAGTCTGTTGTCGTCAGTCACCGACAACAGTCGGGACCTGTAGGAGCTGTTGGCATCAGTTTCCAAGGCTTCATTTACTTCACTGCTGCAGAGAAGATGGACATTCACCTGCTACTGGGTCCTGAGAAAGGCCTGGTTCATACGACCTCTACACAGTTTGTGACTTTGTTTTTGTGGAGATGTTTTAAAACTGCTTATTTACAGTATATTTCACCTTGAGAGCAGAGATGTGGATCGCCTGGACGTCTCCTCCAAACTCCTCACAGACGACATCATGAGCAAGGAGTTCCTGTTTAACTCTCTGCGGGTCAGCCTTAGGCTTATCGCACTTATTCACCGCCACGATCATCGGAACTGTAACAGAAAAAACACAGGGTCGAGGCAACAGAAACACAGAGTAAAACCAAAGTGGAAACAGTAGCAAAAGCAGACTCCACAGTGTTTTCAGCCCTCAGCTGTGACTCCCAGGCGTAGCTTGTACCTTTGGCCCGCCTGGCATGCTGGATGGACTCGACCGTCTGGTTCATGACACCGTCATCAGCCGCCACCACCAGGATGATGATGTCAGTGGCGTTGGCACCACGGGCTCTCATGGTGGAGAAGGCGGCGTGACCTGGAGTGTCCAGGAAGGTGATCCTCTCACCTGTAGGCAACTGGACTGGAAGCAAAAACCCCCCAGAGACAGGTTTGTTCAAACTTTACTGTCAACATAAACACTAACCTAAAAACAACCACATTTACTTCTGATATACAAACTGGTTTTCAAATAGAAGATTCGATGAGTGTCACACTAGAGCTCAAACTCCTGGTCAGTTAATTGATGAATCACTAGAAAATTTATCAGCAGCAATTTTTAAAAACTTAACTTTTCTCTTAAACTTCAGGTTCCAGCTTCACACACATGAATATTTCTTTATGTCGACGGTAAAGTGTCCTGACATATAAAATGCTGTTATGATGCTAAATTAACTTTTTTATGGCTTTAGATTAAAATGTGTCAATTTTTAAACATAAAAAAACTTAATGTTTTTTTTTTTTTTTACCTTTTCATCATATACAAACTAAACGACTAATCAGTAATTATAACTAATAGTTCTATTTTGATGTTTGCTTCTCTCGCTGTCAAGTTATGTTTAGATGAAAATCAACACTTCTTGCAACTTTTTCAAAACAAAAGCCTACCAGGGAAGGCAGGGGCTAGTCTCTTAATTTGAAAACAAGTGCAGGAAGCTTAACAGGGATTAAAAAATACACTTTTAAAATAACATGAAAACACCACTACAGTTGTGTGTTGTATTTGTTTTGTTGATCCCATTTTATATTTTCAAACTGAAACTGCCACCGAGTTTTCTGCTTCTTCTAGAAGAAATTAGCAGAACTACAAAAGTAAACCTTTGATGAATCCAAGTTGTTTCTTCACTTTGTGGCTTTTAAATTGTATTTGATCTTTATTGTTTGACTGTTCCTTTGTTGTCAGATCGGGTTTGGTGAAATAAAGCTCTCAACTTGTCGTGTTCTGTTAGTAAAGTTTCAATCAGACCAGGTGAGGTACCGAGAAAGGCGCCGATATGCTGAGTGATGCCTCCGGCCTCAGTGGACGCAATCTGACTCCTCCTCAGACTGTCCAGCAGGGTGGTCTTTCCGTGGTCCACATGGCCCATGATGGTGACCACCGGGGGGCGAGGCACCAGGCTGGACGGGTCAGCCGGAGGTCTGTTAGGGGTCACAGAGAACATTATTCTCAGGCTCAGACATCAAAAAGTAGGAAGACAGGCTGATTGGTTGGTTGGTTCATAGCTGTACTCTGATTGGTCGGTTTGTAAGCATGTTCTTAAACGATGCAAATGAGCGTCAGATAAAGTGATGTATTTAAAAGTGGAGTTCCTGTCCGTTACCTCCTGTGGGTATCTCTGTTGGGTCTCTCTCTGGTCTGGCTCAGTTTGGCCCATCTGAACTTCATCCCCGATTGAGTCACCACCTTCTTAATCCACTTCTCCTCCAGAACTGAGTCCGGATCCAGAGAGTCCAGGTCCACCGGGGTGTTCAGCAGAGCCTCCAACACGTGATCTGCGATACAAAAACTTTATTCCTCAAAGACGTGATCTGAGGACACCACCACCAGACTTTACTGACGTCCTGTGATCGTTGTTGCTTCTTACCAAAGTCTTTGTTCATAGCCTGAGCGAGCTCCGCCACCGTCATCCTCTGTCTGATTTCCACTTCCTGTTTGTCCACTTTGGGTTTGACCTTCAGGTTTCTCTGCTCTTTATTTTGACCTTTGACCTGCACACACACCAGAAAATGTTATACTTTCATTATTATTGCTGTTGTACTTGAACACCAAATTGAGAACAGGGTTGAAGCAGAAACATGGGGGTGGGGTCAACAAACAGACAGTGAAGCAAAAGATAATTATATGAATAAAGAAGTGAAATACTGAAAATACAGAAATTTAAAAAAATCACAACAATGAAATAAACGCTATGAGGGTTGAACAGTCATTTGTAAGTTTACAGAACCCACAGTGCTTTTCCTTGTGTTATGACTTATCTACAATGTTACAACGGTGACTTCTCATCTTAAACGTGTTGGAGACCCAGTTCTTTTCACCGTTAACTCTGAGAGACGAAGCAGTCCAAGTAACTTTAAAACAGTGCTGATTTATTCAATGAACACAGGTAAAAATTAACATTACACGCTCAGGAGTCTTTGCACCTCCAACATGCACGCAGGCAGCTGAAAGATGAGGGACCCTGAACCACAACAGGCCTATACATTGTATCACTTCGGGCTAACCCCATTCTACAGAGAGAGACGCCAAACCGTGACGTCTCCCAGTGCCAGCTTTGCAGCTGGCCAGAGCAGTAGTCAAAACATGAAGCTGTTTTGCATCTTCACATAGACCCACTTAGCATTTCACTAGTTCTGCTTTGTCATGTTTGCAGAGTTGGGGGAACTACAACTGGAGATGACCATTTGTCCTATTTAGCATTTTCGCAAGGTCCGCTTTGTTCTGTAATAGCCTAGACAGACAGTGTCTGCAGCTGCATCCATTCATCCATCCATTTTCCTCCGCTTATCCGGGACCAGGTCACAGGGGCAGCAGTCTAAGCAAAGATGCCCAGACTTCCCTCTCTCCAGACACTTCCTCCAGCTCCTCCGGGGGAATG